GTGATGGGGAGGAAGGGGCTTCATAATGATGCTGCAGAACAATTAAGAGAGAGGGGCCAGGTTCCTTAATGAATCTAGGTTTAATTACTCCAATATGGATGATTAAAATCACACGGAACAAATCATTTTAAAGTAACACGTTACTTCAAACTCAAACTTGTTTCACTTTTACTGACAGAATTCCAAGGGAAAACAAAATAAGAATCACAAAAAAACATTGAAAATATTTCAATGGAATTTTAATTTCAGATTTTCAAAAGTAAAATAATTAGTGTTAAGAATGTAAAGAATGTTTATTGGAAAAAAAGTCACAATGAAAAAATAATTAGACAAATTCTGCCTCTGATCTGAACGCTGAGGTCAAAGTCAAAATTGTAAATTTGATCTCAAGGTCTGAGATTGTAGTACGTGATCAGAATCTAAAGCATTGTTTCCAAAAGCTAAAATTCTACATTGAAAACACGATTAGAATCTCGTGGAAAAAATGTGAAATGTGAAAAAGGCTGGATTGAGATGATCAGTCAAATCACTTTGATTACTTTGATCGCTCTGATTTTTTTTATATCATCCTTAGTATTAGATTAATACTAATTGTGACCAAACCAATGTCTAAATCAAATTGTATGAGCCTCATCAAATTAAAACGGAAGAAAAATTATATTAAAAATTATTCAAAACATAATTACCATTCACCAAACACAGCCGAGACAACTTTCTATTGTTTTGACACAAAAAACTCACACATTTACCTCAGACAAATGGAATGAAATGGAGAACGGACACCCAGTGAATGTTTCCCGGGAAATCCAATAAGCTCACTCAGGCATTACAGAGACAAGACAGATGCTCGATGTGAAGAACAATCGATGCCAAACCTGCAGCACACTCACACAGTGCAATATGGTGCAGCCAATGTATCGATATTGATGCCCTTACAGGGAAGATAAATGTGCCATTTTGGGCTCCTCAGCTTCCTAAAAGAAAAATAAATGATTTCTGTTGCATTAAATCAGCAAGTTTCATCCAGACAAACATTTGAAGGTTATGGTCATTACATTTTTTTTGTCTCTGGGTAGAGATTCTGAAGGTATGTGACTTGAGAACAGGGACATTTTTCCTTGTTTAAATCATAACCGTCTCACTGGGCTGGGAGTTGAACTTCTACCTATTTAGTGTAGTTAGTAAATAAACCTTGGATTTTAATGTACCTAATGTTTCATGGCAGCTCCTTGTTGTCATACCTTATACAGCAATGCACAAGGACACGTTCACTGTTGTTTCTTATGCAGTCTCCATCAAGTCTTGCCTGTTTAAAGTCCATTCTATTATTATGATTCAGTGTTGACCAACTAATGGTCCGGTCAACCTTTTGGAGACTGAACCACTGTTTCTGCCCATTTTCCTTTCCTTCACTGTGTGTTTTGGTGTGGTCCGTGTGCATGAGTGGGCTGTCATCTCCATGCCGACGATGTGCTGACAGGTTGATAGTGGCATCGGAACTATCTTGCTGTCCCTTCTGAAGTGGTACTTGATCGGTACTTTACCAGCAGTAGATCAATTGAATGGAAATGACATGGTTCAAACTTGAAGAAAAATGAAATACTATTATATTTGACATTAGTATGGCTTATAGCTTGACCATAATAATAAATGCCCTTTTGACTTTTTGAAAAAGTTATATTTATGTTACATCTAAACCAGATATTGTATCTAAACCTTCTGTTGTTTTCCTGCACCAAAGTCCATAGCGAAAATAAACATTTTAAGCCCATGGTGATAGTGGAGTCAATGCCCTAATGCTGCTTCATTTGGTTAGTTTGGGGTGAATGATAACCAAGTACTTGATCACAAATAAGTCACAGAAAACTCAATTACAGTGACTAAAGGAAGCAACACGGCTCATCAACTCCTATGTGTTGTGATGAAAAATTGCTAATTTCGTCTATGGACTTTATTGCAAGGAGAAAAGGGATCAACAATACACAAATCTTCCTTTTTGGACAGGTGACAAAGAATCAAACACTAAACACCAAACTGAGGGACGTTTGTCTCCCCATGAGTTGATCAATGAGTATGATGAGATTGTTGTGTCAAAGGTCACTTTCACATATAATAGCATTTTAGACTGGTAGCCAATCAGATGTGACTTTAACTAAATTAAACTGTTATTTTTTAGTACAAACAGAGTCTTGTCTTGGATCGTCTCTGTCAGAAAATGTCTCCTCAGGATTCTGACTTTCTTCAGGATTTCCAGTGCAGGTCTTTGATGTGTAAGTGCTGGGTTATGCCTTTCAAAGATGTGCTGCCGGTGTTTCTGTGTTGGCTTTGCTTCTCCCCGGCCCAGCGATCGGCCGGTCTCTCTCCTCCCACAGTGTGACGCCGTCACAGGCACATATTTGTTTGGGGTTTTGGAAAAGGCCGGCGGAACGAGCAATGATCCCACAGGCCAGTCTGTAAATTAACAGAAAGAATATAAAGGCCTGCCTGCAATATTGCTAACAGGGTAATATCAAATTTCGTGCACCAGGTCAAATGGTTTGCATGGTCTTGACATTTTTATAAAAAATTAGATAAAAAAATAGCAGAACAAAAATGATGACAACTCCTCATAATGGTGAACCTACCTTTCCCCTGAGTTTCCCGTCTGTCTGGACAGAGGGTGACATCCTCGGCCAAGGTCGTCTTCACCCGCGTCCACCACCAGTGATCGGCCAATCACGTCCCACACCTGCAGCGAGGAGACAATGTTTTAGAGAGCAGCCATCTGGGGACGTCTGGAAAAATGAGATTCTGCCATGTGTGATATTTAAACGTGGCATCAGGAAACAAGCGACTGCAGGTGCCGACTGTGTGACTTACCTTCAGCAGAGTGTCTTCTAGTCTAAATGAAGCCCTGCCATCTGGTCCAGCAGTGATATTTCCCAGATCACCTACGTGCTGCAGGAACACACCACATGGACAACATGAATGAGAGGACCACGGAGTAAGTCAGGAAGAAGTGCCTCAGTCTGACAGCAGACTGCTCACTGAAACACTTCACAACTGCCCCTGTGGGAAAACCTCAGAAGGTAATCACATACCGCACTTGGCTTTTTGTCCAAGTTTCGTATCATCCATGGAGTGATTATGTCAAAATGTACGAGAGAGGTTTTTTTTAAATTTACTGCAGGGTTTCCTGCTGTTACTGAAGGATGTGGCGACAATTTGTTTTGTAGCACAGAGTTAAAGGATTTTCTTAATGGAAAGGGATTTGTTCTTACTCTCTCTGAGTCTCCAGGGCCACCGTGTTGTCTTCCAAACGGGTTGTAGTGTTCTCCACAACTGCAGAACGGGAGAATCTGAGTTTAACCAGGGTTCCTACTCTGCCCAACAAAGTAATATATCAGGATGCTGTTACAACATGACACAGTAGTAATAGTGTTAACTCCAAAATACTTTTTAGCTGGTAAAAAATACACCTTTCACAAAATGCTTATTTTCTATTTTTTCATTAATTGAATGAATGGAAAATTGGTCATATTTTTTCCAGGTTTCCCAGGAGGCAAATCATGGGTTCATGGGCACCCATGATTTACAATTACATATTCTTTATGATGTTGGTTGAAGTTATTCTCTGGTGTGGTATGCTATTTTGGCGCATAGATCCGACCTGTTGCAGTCCTGCGTGAGGTCCCCGAGTGTGTGGACATGAAGGCCGTGGTGTCCAGGCTCCAACCCATCAATGGTGCCATCGATCAAGCAGCGCTCCTGTGACAACTGCAGGAAACGCACCACGCCCTGGACATTTCCAACTCCAGCCAGCATGGCCACGGCTGCTCCCAGATCTGTCACAGAGGGGACATCCATCACCGGCTGCACCGCCTGTGCATTGATAAGTTGTTCAACTTCACTCCTGTCCCCTCTTACCACGCTCAGAGCCACCGATGCCCTTCAGTACTGCTCGACATCCTGTGCTCTCTATTAGGGCCTGCACCTGAGCGCTGGTCAGAACTGAATCCACCAACACCTGCTCTTTGTTTACATCAATGCTGAGGGATGTTATTCCTGCAAACACGTGTAAATAATAAACTTAATATTAAACTGCGACACAGTCAGACAGACAAGCAGGAAGGCAGAGCTGGAAGAAGGACCTCATGTGGTGATTTTCCTTTTTTTTCTTTCACAGACACTCCTGTTTTCCAGTTCTAAAAACATGAATACCAGTAAGCAGCTTCCATTACCTTCATACATGCCATCTAATCAACATGCAGCTCTTTCTCACCTGGTTTATCCTCCAGTGCAGCTCTGACTTTCTGTGCACAGCTCTCACATGGCATCTGCACTGCAAACTCCAGCTGTGGAAGAGAACACTGTTTAGAAAATGTTTTCAGGTTTAATTTATATTTATTCACAGAATAACTTTAGTTTGGAAACGGATGTCCTGATCACAGTCCTTTATATGTAACTTGTTATGTTACACCGTAACACCGTAGTCGTTAAAATGCCATACATGTAACATCCCGTGTCTCAATGAGATAAGGCTAACTTCTAACAGTTCGTGGTGTTAAGATCGGCTTATCAGACACAGTGTGTATGTGACTAAGAACCAACGTGATCTTTTCTAGAAAACATGGAGTTTTGGGATAAATTAGCTTCATTTTAGATTGCAGCAACAGAGCACAACATGGTTCATATAAACTGACAGTGTCAAAAGTTACAAGGAACAGTGACCGTGGACTGTTGAAATTGTAGTCGTTGCTCAGCGGTATTAATTTAATAAGTTGTAGTTAATGCAAATAAAAATGGACGAATAAATGGTTACGAAATAACGACTACAACACCCCCATCAGACATTGTTTTGGTTAAACGCTGTTTTCCTGCGATTTGTTGCTGTTGACCGTGACTCAGCAGAAAGAAGTGCGTCACAGACGCCGGTCAAACCTTGGACGGTCTCTCTGACTCCATTCTGCTACCGCTCGCTGCCGACTGTGACAGAAAAACGGACCCAAACAGTAAACTTCCCACTTTTCTACAGGCGGAAGAGAACCACCGGCTGCTGCTGGGCGCCGCCATATTTGTGAGGGCGCAGTCTCGCTAGCGCTATCAAGTGTTCATTATCCGAAACTGCAGTGGACTAACATAACCGATTTCAGTGGGATTTAAAACTGTATTTTGAAAATACATTTTACTTACTTTTTGGCTAATTTTCTGTTATTTATCGTATCACGACCGTTTATTAGTGAATTATTAACCTAAATATGAGTAATTTTAAGGCACTTATAGACAATTGTTTATATTTTCATTTTTATACTTGTAGCATTTCAATGCTTGCTCAACGGTTACTCTGTTTGACTAACATCTCGTTATTTGCCTGTTTAATGCTTAGTTAATTTTTTCATTAGTCTACCCGGTTTTACTTACGTTGTAACAATTATTGCAATTTTTTTTACTAACCTTTAGTAATTTAGTTATGTTTTGGCTACATTTTACCAAAGCTTTAGCCACATTTTAGACCAATGTGTAGCATGTGTATAATTTATGTGTTAAATCTGTGTTTAAACTACAATATATTAAGCTTATTTATTTATTATTAGTCAGTTGCTGTTCTTTGGGATTTTTATTTCCCGCCCCTCTTTTTTTTTTTTTGGTTTTTTTTTTCCCCCCCCCTGCCATATTTTTTAGTTACGTTACGTCTTAGTATAAAATTTGAAGAGTTAGCTTTTTTGCAAATTTCAGCAACTGTTGCTGGTTTATCCCACTTTAATCTGTAATTTTCCCCCTCTAATTTAGCCCATGAGGCACATGTTTTGTAAATCACTGTATTTCAAAAGTATTTGTTTAGCAAAATTAAGGAGCATCCACCGAAGAGAGCCTTTAATTCAAAGTCCCAGAGTAGAAACTTCTGCTGAGAAAGCAAACATGGTAAATGCCTGCATAAAATTCAAACAATATCATCTTTTACCTCTACAGCCTCTATGTTACAGTTTTTATGTTGCATTAAAATGAATGGGGCTTTAGGGGTTTTCAGAAATCCTTGCCAGATGCCCCCGTAGGTGAAGGTTATCCATAGTGGATCATTTTTCTGTTGTTGCCATTGAGGATGTGGATGAGAAGCAAAGAGCATGAAGGTTGGAGGAGGTAATGATGATTGCGCCCTGCAGTGTGTGTGCTGTGGACATACTCTGCTGCAATTTCATAATGTGTATAGATTATTATTATTGCTGCTGCAGAGTCCGGCAGAAGATTAAAGATCTGTGTTCTTACAGATAGGGCAATAGCAATAGGTGAATGTGGATGAGTGTGGGTGACTGTAGTCAAGGATACAGAGAGTGACAGATAAAATCCTCTTTGTTGAAGTGGTGGTCTGTATAGTTGACGAAAACCATTGGTTATGGATAAAAACAGAGAGACATTTATTCCCACATAAAGATACCTGGTGAGCCTCTGAGCACTGAATACATGAATACATGTAGTGTTTTAGCTATTTTAAAATATAAATATTTAACATTTGTCTTTGCCTCATGGCTATCTGCTACCTTCTGACATGGTGTTTTTGGCTAACCTCTAGTCAGGCAGTGGTGGCTTGGTGTTTGGGGAAGTGGAATTGGGTCCGGAGGGTTTCAAGTTGGAGTCCACCAGCTGCCCAGTTCCCACTGAGGTGCTCTGTCATGGCTCCGTCCCCCCTCACTGCTCCCTGGTTCTTAAAGCTGCCGCCTGCTGACTGTGGTGATGGGTTAAAAACAGAGGTCACATTTGGTGGTGTGCAGTGGTGAGCTGTGTCACAGTGACAAGGAGTTCACTTTCTTTCATTGTACTTACTTAAGTAACTTTTGCTCATTTAAGGCTAATTCCTAACTATTGCTGCTACGATTTCTTAGCTGTTTCTGAGCATTTTGAGTGTTAACTCTTTGGCGGACTTGTGTAAGTTGTACAATATAAGTTTACACTTTTTTTAGTCTGAGTGTCTTTGTTTCAGCTACTGCTGTATACTCGGGTACATTTCAGATAGTCTTTAGCTAATCTGGATAGTTTAGCTAAAGAATAACTTTAACACATGCAATAAAGGCCAGAAAACAAAACTGAAACTTGGTGTAATAAGGAAAAAGGTTTCAGAATTTTGAGAAAAATATACAATTTAGAGCTTAATGTAATTTTATGAGGAAATATTTCAGCAAGCATTGGGATATAAAAGAAATGTAAACAATTAATTCACAGATGAAATATGTAAAAAAAAAAATCTAGAAAAGTGATTTATAGTCACCACATTTCCCCCTTGTCCCATTCCTCTGTGGAGCCAATGAAAGCCATTTGAAAAAAGAACAATGCAGTGATGTCCTACATTAGCATCAGTGTTCTCACTGAGAAGGGCCACTCATTACTGAAGGGCATGGGGGGTGGGGTGGGGTGGGGTGGGGCAATAACATCACCCTGGACTGAGAGAAAACACTGCTCAAAAACATGACTTTTTTGGTTTCTTGGCTACCTGAAAGCCTTTTTAAAATCTTTTTATCTGCCAACTTTCACCTAGATTTTTTGAAATATTCCTTTGGTTTTATATTTTTGGCCAATTTTAACTAGAATGATCTTTATCTTTTGGTCTATTTTTCAGTGGTTTTTGATTTATTTATGTTTATTATTTACTTTATTTATTTGTTTATTTTTATTGCTATCTCCTCTACGTTTTGTTGCTTGTTTATTCTTTTTGCAATCTAGTTGTCATTTGAGAGATTATTGACTAGATGATCAACTTTTAGCATGTTTTCTTTTATATGTGTTTGTTTATTTTGCTATATTGTTTTTATTTGATGATCTGTTGAACTGCTAACTCTGTTGTTTTGCAGTTCTCCAAAATCGTGGCCATTGTTTTTGTTTCGTTAATCAGTTTTCTTCATTAATTTTAATTATGTATATTAATTAATATATACTTTTGACTGTTCCTTAGTCTTTGGTTCTGGCAGCTGTTTAGGCCTTAGGCTGGATCCTGGTTTGAATAAAACTGACTTATCACTTTAATCTGCAGAAGTGCATGAATCTGTGTTGTTGTTCTGCATTGAATTCTCTGTTTGTGTGTGCGTGTTATCCAGGTACTTCTATTTCCTCTTACAGTCCCAGAACATCTAGGATTAAGTTAATTGTTCTCTCTCTAAATTGACCACAGGTGTGAATGAGACCTAGAGCAGGTGTGAATGTAAGTGTGAGACATCAGCACATTCTACTGTTGTTTTCAATTCGAATGGAAGAATCCTTCGAATCTTCAGACTGCTCCCTGCAGGGACTTGGAAACAGAGCAAACATTAACCTGCAGATTTCCAGCACAGGACAGTGCTGAATAATACATGAGGGAGGGCCCCTTCCCTGAGGGTGCCTGGGGGGCCCGCAAATCACCCCTGCCTGCTAAACATTTACACGAGGACCCGCTATCAGTTCAGATTCAAATGAGCTCCGTTCTCAGCAGCAGTGAGACGGACAAAATGAGATTAAAGGTTTGTCATCACCCGCAGCAGCCTGTGGGTGACGGCGTGTCAGTCACCACCCAATATCACCTTCACCAGGCGGCCTGTGTGTGTACGTGTGCTTGTGTGTGTGTACGTGTTTTCCTGAGGTTGTGAGGACGTTTTGGACATTTTTACAACAATTGGACCTAGTATTTATTTATTTATTTTAATTTTATATATTATATATATATATACAGTATATATAGAAGAGGCTGTCTGAGTGACAACAGGGACACACTTTTGGACATTTCAGAATGGACATATTTAGAGTTTTATAAAGATTCTGCGAAATGTTTTTCTTATATGTTCTTACATTATAATTTCTTATAATTCTTCAAATGTCTTCCTCAGAATTTAATAAAAAATAATGTTTGTCCATATTTTAAAATCAAAGATGGAATTATGTCCTTGTCTCTTACTTCGGACTGGATTCAAACAATTCCAACATCTTTTTTCTCAATTGTGGCAGTAAAAATCTTTTTTTCCTCCAAATGTTTTTTTCCTCCATAATTCTGTCTCATCCTTTCAATCCTATAACCGTATATCTTTGAATTTTAGTTTTAAATTATCTAAGAAATCAGACATCATTTTTATTTTTTATGTGAATTAAATTTCTCTCCAAATACTGACACAAAATCCTCACTTTGAAACACTTCTTTGTTTCATAGAGATTTCTTTATTCGAGGTCTGAGATTATGGAATTTCAGCTGTCAGTCCCAAAAGTGTTTTGTTATGACTGATTTGACCACAGCTCTCCTGTTGTTGTTGTTGTCATGTTATATGTTAATGTGTCACAGTAAGTGACGTTTAATTTGACGCAACCGCTTCTTTGAGAGAGAGAGAGAGAGAGAGAGAGAGAGCGTGTGTGTTGTGCCTTGGGCAAAGCGTGCAGAGAGACACGGACCAAATATGGGAGATCACACTCCCTCCCACACACACACACACTCAGGCGCGTCATTGGCTACTGGAACGAGGGATAGAGAGAAGGGGTGAGGGGAGAGAGAGAGAGAGAGAGAGAGAGAGAGAGAGAGGCTCGGTCGGAGCTGCCGGAGGAGTCTCGGTGAACCACAGAAAGACTAACTGCTCCTCTGTCTCTGTGGTTGTGTGTCGGCGACGGCCGCGACACCTGAACAACAACCGGCTGTGATCGACCCTAACCCCTGAACCACCAGCCCATTCAGGGGGGACCAGAGGAGAAGGAGGCTCGGTCTGTGAAATAGAGGAGGAGGAGGAGGAGGACAGAGAGAGGGGAGCAGCGGCAGCAGGCTGGCCGGGACGCGGAGCTTGACCGCGGGGAGAGCGACCGACGTCGCGGCCGCAGCGGCTTCAGATCCAGAGAGATCAACCAAAGGTGGGTGATGATGTGTGGGTTCTCTGTCCTGAATGTTGCCCAGAATCCGTGCTGCAGGAACACAGAGATGATCGGGTTGGTATTTAAATGATGATGCGATTAAAAAAACCCAAAACACGTGCCACAAACGCAGCACCGGTCTGTTCTCCGCTGCTCCACAGCAGTGGGATAACCGTTCATTTGTGTGTTCATCCCCGAAAAGGACGTCACACGGATCTGAGGAGACCATTGTTGTGGTTCATGCCCTGGAATATGGTTTTGGTCGTAGGTGTATGAGGAGGGGGAGGATGAGGGGGAGGATGAGGGGGAGATGTTTATGGTGATGCTCTCCTTGGGGCGCTGCAGTCTTTTGTCAAGGCAGATTGATTTCACCTGTTCATTCACGCAGTGTGGTTTTAATGAGTTGTGAGGACTTCACATACACATTCCCTAGGTCTTTACCTCAACCTTAACCGGTTTACAGGTTTGTCTAATCCTAATCCTAACTCCAAACTCAGTGTTTAACATTAAAATAACCCCTTGTTAGCAAATGTCCCCATAAGTATAGCTATATCTGGAACATACACACACAGTGTGAACAGATTGTTGCACATGGGAAAATAGTTTCATTTTAAAACTTTGTCAATTTTTTAGAAAATTATTTAAAAAGCTCACCTAAAATGCTGTTACAGCTGCACTGCAACATGTGGCAGAAGGTAACTGTAGTCTACAGTATATCAATATTATGATATACATACATTTTCCTACACACAATGTTTTTGTGGTGATTTATATATTTTTTAATTACAATTTACCATTAGTCAGAAGATTAAAAAAAAAATAAGCCAAACATCAACCCAAAAATATATTTTGGGGAAGAAATGTCATATATGTGGAAAAAAAACAACAAACAAATGATCTGAAGTAAGTCAAAAAATGCAGCCAAATAATAACTAAAGCTAGTAACAAATAAATATACCATGGCCCACTGACCACAGATATTACAGAAAAGGACAAAAATATTTTCAAGACAACAAAAACACATGATAGTTGATGGTGTGTACCGTTAAAAATAAGGAAACACTAAAAAGGAAAAACACTAAACTCCATAAGTCGTCTCATAACTCAACAAAGGTTTCTATTCATCTGGAGATTTTATTTGGATTTAGATCAAAGTTCACCAGTGTCACTTCAATTTCCTGGTCTCTTGTCAACCCTTTGTCTCCACTCACCGTTCTGTTCCTTCCTCATCTGTGTCCTTCTCCTCCTTTGCGTCTTTGGGAAGTAGGTTGCCAGAGGAGAAAGGGAAAGGGAGGTGATTTAATAATCCCTTTAACGTCAGGTCATTTACGTATGCAGACATGAATCGTTTTTTTTTTTCTCTCTCTCTCCTGGCACGTTGAGTGATGAACGCGTGGAAATCAGTGAAGCTGTGGAGCAACAATGAGACGCACACTTGTGAATAGATGCTCACGTACACAAAGTCAATATGATGAATTCACAGTATTGTTAAAGCACATCACCAGAGTCGTTAGAGGGCGCTTGGCCTTTAAAGACGGACGCACCGGGAGGAAAGAAAAGAGTTTATTTATATAATACTATACAGTGATGTGCAGCTCTGAGGCTGCTGGCTGCACAGAGACCAAAGATGGTCGATTCACGGCCCGGCGCCAAGAAAATATAAAAAGAAGTGTCAGAACTGTTTGTTCTTTCCCTGGGAACTGAGAAGACTGTTGACACACATCATAAATTCCTCCAATCGTTCGAGAAAAAGACAACACGTATACACTTCTTCCGAGTTCTGGACTGTCTACAAAACAAAAAACAAACTTACAGACCTAATATTTGACAAGTGCAAACTGACGGTACAAAGCCAAACTTATGGAGGCAGGATCTTAGTGTGTTTGTGCCTTTTAGTGTAATCAATATATTATTACAAGTGCTATGCAAATATTTTAACACAATCTTTACTGCCTAAATTTTTGTTAGGCATCACGTGACAAAAATGACTCATTCGAAATAACGATTTGTGCTATTTTTCAACTTTTCCTTTCTTGTTTCACAACTTGTTAGCTCAGTTTGTTGACTACTCCTCAGGCAGACATTGCTATTAACCTGGCTAATATAGGCTTAAAAAAAAGAAAGAAAAACAAACAAGATTTAGGCAAGCTAAAGGCCAAAGGTGTCTTTGCTGTATTTTCTTAAAGGCAGCAACACATTTCAGGCACTTGGTTGTTGACTCAAAAGAGTCGGGAGTAGAAATGATAGGTTGTAGGTAAAGGGAAAAAAAGGTCTTTGAAAATGTTAAAAATGTAAAAAAAAAGACAACAAACAACCAAACCTCCCAGCAGGAGATCCATGATGAGAAAAAGGAGAAGCTGGTGCTGACAGGTACAGGTGGATGTGCTGTTTCACCAGGGTCTGCTGCTCTGCTTCATTCTGTCTCCATCTCTTTCTTATGATGTCTTCAATGTTATTTGGGCCAAAGACCCTCAAATGATGAAGCAGGAGGTAGGGACCCCCTACTATACATACAGTATCTACAGTATCTATAACTATTCTATATAGCTATTTATACAGTTACCTGAACACTGGTGTGATGGTTTTACACACAGCTTATTCAAAGAACAAGAACAGGAGTTACGTCCCACAAACACTGAGCTCTGAGCTAAGTTAGTTAAATATATATATATATATATATTTGCCAAGGTTTACCTGCCTCTAAAGGTAATTATAAAACCTTGTGTCCTTAAGCTACCACTAACCTCACACTTAGCTCTGCTGTCTGCATCAAGCCCTTAATACCAAAGACCAATAAGGCTGAAGCAGGGAAAGTGACCTCCCATCATCCTCTCTGCTGCTGTCATCACAGTGTCAGAAATCGATCCCCCATCAGCCACCAGCTGAGTACCAGACATTTGTGCAGCAGCTCTGAAACCTTCCCAAATGTTCGCGGCAGAACAAAGGTGTTGCAGTTTTTAAAATGGGTTCAATGCCAGAATGAACATAATATAACTTTGATCTGGTCATTTGACATAAATACAGGTGGACCATAGTTTGTTTACTTTGGTCACGTCAGGAAGAAGCTTTTAGCTTTCTAAACATTCTCCTGCAAAAATCCAGCAGCCGGATTCCACCAGTCCCTCGGATTAAAATGAGAAAGGAGAGATTACGGAACCACAGTCTTGGATCTGTGTTCCTGTTATTGTGCACAAGACCAACCAATGCATTATCTATTATTAATGCTGTGAGCAACCTCAGCCCAGCCGCTATTGTTCATGTTGCGGTCTGTCAGACCCAGATTCTTCACTGCAGCCGGATTGTAAAATCATTCAACATGACAACATCATCTGTTTTTTATTTGTAATTGACAAACCAAAAGTATTCAATATGCTGCCACGGGGGGGGAGGGGGGGGGGGGGCTTAGGACTAAAGAGTCTTTAACAATATACACACAGTATAAAAAAACATATCTGACAGATAGGAGGATTTATTGACAAAATGATTGAGCTAATAATGGAGTAAATCTTTGGCGTGCCCCCTTTTGCTTAGACTGGTTTTCTCCGGTTGCATCCCGAATGTCACTTGATGTATACATGCTAAGATGAGAAGTTATTGTTGCAGGACATTAGAGTCTTAAATATAGGTTGCAGGCTTTGTCTGGTCACTAGTACGGTTTCCCACGAATCTTGAGGAAACGCAAGCCCCCCTCAGAGGCAAGAAAACCAGGGCTTGTACGACACAAAGAGCCACATCAAACAAAAGCCAGTCGCCTGGAACGACAAATGAGGCTGCATGAAGTAAGGACACACTGTGTTGTCCATCTACTCCAGGCCCTGACACAACGGGCCATTCGATATCTTATCTATAGGATCAGTCTCACAAAATCACCCAGAAACCAGATACTCTAAAGTGTAGGTCACTTTCCAGCCTCAGGCTCAATGGAGAGCTTCTTCAGGACCCGGGCCTGGGTTTGACCAACTCTCCTGACACCAGTAACATTTAAAAGAAGCATTGTGAGGGTCTTATGGCCGAGAACTTTTAACCATTGTCTGCCTGTAACCAAATATTTCCCGTGTAACTGTAAAGCAGGGTTAAATGTCGGAGGGTGACCTCCTCAGATGTAACCTCCCTTTTTTGCTGTTACGTGTCAAAACAGTAAATACCCAGGTGCTAACAGAAATGATGTACAGTAATCCAACTTTTCAGAGGCTATTTTGTTGGTGTAAAATTGGTCCCTCACTGCAGGTTAGTTTTGCTATCATGAAACCATTATGCTATCTTGTGCCATATTATCCTGGATCTTAATAATAATAATAATAATAATATATTTTATTTAGAAGCGCCTTTCTGAACACTTAAGGACACTGTACAGGGTATACATTGAATAAATACAACAAACATAGAATAAACAAAAAATAAATACAACAGAGACAAAATACAATAATAGATTACAAAGCCAGTCAAGTTTGTAAGTAGATTACAAACTTGACTGGCTTCTCGGCAAATGTTGACCTAGAACTGGTTTGGCTTTAAATATTGGTCTAACACAACCCTTTCACGAGTTACCTTATCTAGATTAGGCTCTAGGCTCAGTATTTAATTTAGCTTTGGCTATGTGGGCTATTTTCTCATACTGCATTATTTTCATTTTATATCAAATATTTTTGGACCATTGAGTTACTTTTTGATATCATTTCATCCTTTGGCTATATTCTTTATTTGTTGGTAAACTTTGACCTAACTGGTCAAACAATTGATTGGTTTTCTTTCTGTTTAGTTATCTAGTATCTGATTAGTTACAGTAACTAAGATCATGTTTTGGTCTCTTTTTCTTTGCGTTGTCGTGGTGTTTTAACCATTGTTTTGCATACGATTTTGCTACATTTGTTTTGTGATTCAGTTATGGCTAACATAGCCATGCTATCAGGCTAACTTTGAGCTGTTTCTGGGCTAATTTTGACTTACGTTTTGACTCTTGGATTACGTTTTAGTTCTGCTGTAACTGTCAGTCTCTGTGA